TTGTGGCTGGGATGCTCTCTCTGCTCTTTCTGCTTCTGCTCTGCCAGCTTCCTCCTCAGGAACCCACCATGAACATTTTTGACTGCCTCGACTACATGCAGCCAAGTGTCTACAGGGATGGAGATCTGGTGGTTGGAAGCGTTTTCCCTCTCTACACACTGACCCAGAACCTAGAAGCCCAGTGGAGATTTTTTGTGACCAGCCCAAGACAAAATGTGACATTTCACCAGTAAGTCTACATGTGTCTCTGTGTGTGAATGATCAACATGAAAGCTATATAAAGATTCTCCCCGAGCTTTGATTCATGAGTTCTTCCCTTTCCTTGCCTGCATGACTTTGAGTCTGCTCTGGCTTCGGGTAACCTTATGAGCAGCAGAGTGAAATGCCGGGGGACGTGCACCACATTCTTGATTCTGGGTAGGTTTCTACCCTGTGCTGCAACCACCCTACCTGTCTCCTGGAGGATGGCCCTCATTTTCATGGTTGCCCCACTGCACCAAACCTGATGTTCTCTTTTTACTCTAGTCACCATTTTGAATCTTTTTTCCATTTTTCCTTTCTGGCATATTTTTCTTCAGAGTAGAAAATATGATCGCCCCTGTACAAAACCCAAACTTGCTGCTGTTGAAACAATTCTGACTCCTGGAAGCCCCGTGTGTAATATAGTAAAACCGTCTCCTTGGGGTTTCCTTGGTTGCATTTTTCAGAGAAGCACATCACCAGGCATTCCTGTCATGTCACTGCTTGGTCGATTTGAATGTCAAATGCTCCTTAGCCACCAATCACAAACCTCTGTGTCCATCAGGGACTTAACATTCCCACAACAGTGACCCATATACCCAGTCCTATTCCTGACTTGGGATGTGGGGCGTGTTAGACTCTCTGGATTTAAACATATTAAAATCTGGGCTGGAGTTTAGTGCTAAAGGAAAATCATTAAAATACAGGTTTCAAATTTGAGGGCAGCCATCAAGGTGCCCTCTCGGGGTGAACTCTGTGCCTATCTCAGCAGCAAGGGCTTCTTATCCTTTCTAGAGCTGTCAGAAAGAGTCAAAGGACAAGGGACGAAGAGCACTGGTTGGCAGGTTTCTCTGTGTGTTTCAGACTGCTTTCTCCACCCGGCCAGGGACAGATTCCCTGACAAGCAAGGCAAACCTAGGCTTCCTGATCCTTATTTACTGATCTTTAGTAAACAAATTCATGCAAGTCTCCTGGCATATGAAAAACCAAGTGTAAGTGTGCACTATAGATTAAGAAGGAAACCTATGGAAGCCAGTATTTCCCTGCTTCCTGGGCAATGTGTCCCTGAAATTGAAGAGACTTTGAATGTCTAGGAGGATTCTGTGGGATCGGGAAGAAAACAGATTCCAGCTAACTGTAGAAGCAGAACCTTTGCTGTGGTGAAAACCCGTGAACTGCTGTCTTGCTTATTGTGTCATCAGCACTGCCTAAGACTACGGTATGACTTCTGGTGACATTTCTCTGCTTCCGGTGATCTGTCCCATAGATTATGAAGCACACTGTATGAGAAGTGTGTTTTTCAAAAAATCTGAGGATACTCTCTGGAGCCATGGAGGTGAGGTGAACCCCTCAAACTATTACTTTGGGATAATCTTTACCTTTAAATCTTAAACCAAAACTGTCCTATAAATCATCATTGAATGCAATAAAAGAAAAAGAAATGGTTCATCTTTATAATTAAAGAAAGTCTGTTTTGAGAAATGAGCTCTTGTAAAGAACTATGTATGTGAAATCAGATTGATAGTGGCAACTTGATCAGTTAGTTCAGAAGCTTAGGGGGCACCAAATTTAGGTTAAGAATGGGGGAACAATCTGGAGGACAAACAGAGTGCTTGCACAAGGGCAAGAATGTCATCAGAATCAAAGTGTTGTTCACATAGAGCTTGTTCAAATGCTGTCTGACTGTGGACATCTTTACCAAAGAAATTCTGATGATTCCATTGTATCCTGAAGCTGTTCTTCCTCCATACTTTCTCTGTTGGCTTCCCTATCCTGCCTGGCTTCATTGCCTGGATCACAAACATTTGCTTCATCGAGTTCTTTACTTCCCATGTTCCTAACCCTCTGTTTGTTGGGAAACTCCAAAAATCAGTGTTTGACATGCAAACACAAATACAACGGAAAGACTTCCTTTGTAATCCCTTCCCACAATGAACTCATGTGTTTTTAGTATTAACTCATTTTAGAAAATCTTTCTTTCTTCTTCCAGTCTGGGATTTTAGGTCTGGACCTGCTGATGCTTTAGGAAGAGCACGCACATAAGCAGAGTTCCCAAAGCTGTAAACACAACATTTTCTGTGTACTCACAGCTCAGTCAAAACTTCTCAAAAACTCTTCTTGGTTTGGGACAATCATGCCTTGTAGATATTGCAGATTCTAAATCAAAACACCTAAATACAGCGAGTCACACTAGTTTTATTTTCCTTTTTGCTTCACAGTGCATAACAAATTTGTGTTGGATATATACTGTAGCCTACTGAGAATGTGATGCCACTAGGAACGGGCTAGAATGTGGTGAGACTTATTGGAAAACCTTGTTGCTGAACCTGATCAATGCAGACTTGACAAAAACCTTCAATCTTGAAAAAGCAGAGAATATCAGTGTAGCATAATAAATAGAAACCTTTATATGAATTGAAGTATATCCCTTGTATTTCTAAAGAGCATTTATTGTTTGGACTTCTCCAGGTTAAACTACCAAAACTACGGTTATGTTCTGAAATTTCTTTTTGCCATTGAGGAGATTAACAGGAGTCCCCTCAGGCTCCCCAACATATCCCTGGGCTTCCGGCTCTACAATGCCTTTCCTAGTGCTTTCAGAACTGTAGAGAATGTCCTCGGATGGCTGTCAGAAAGGGAGCCCCCCCATCCCTAATTACACCTGCCAGACACACCCAAAGAACATGGCAGTCATTGCAGGAATCCCCTCTGAGTTCTTGGAGCAAGCTGGGGCACTGCTGGATCTCTACAGAATTCCACAGGTATGGGTTCTGGGGGAGTGGACCTTTCCTTCCTCAGTTTGGTTCTCCTGCCACTTAAGTGGAAGAGAAGAGAGACATAGGCACTGCCCATTGGTTCTCAATGAGGTGGAATAATTATTCTGAGTTGAAACTGGGACAGGAACAAATCTGCCAGAGAGTGTTGTTGCTCCATAGCCAAGCCAAAGTGACTTCTAGAAATTCTGCTGCTCAGATTCTCTCAGACCTGCAAACGAGCTATCTGGAATAGGAAAAAACAGGCAAAAACAGGCGAATGGAAGAATACATTTCATGATCTCTTCATTAAGTTACTTATTTCACCTTCCACTTAAAATAGTTATATCTAACCATGTGCTGTGGTGCATAGGCATTGCCTTCATTACTTAGTGTTGTGGTAACAAATACCACGGAGGATGGTTTTAAAAATAGATATTTATTTCTGACACTAGAAACTAGAATCTGAATTCAGGGCACTGAATCTAGAGTGAGGTTATGGCTCTGTCAACTCTGGGAGGTAATACTTGTCTCTCTTCAGTTTTTGTTCCTTGATTCCTTGGCTATCATCACATGGGATCATTTCCCCACATTTGTGTTTGCTCATCTGTGTCGGTGCTGGTCTTTACAACACCGAGAAGTGACAGGCTTAAGACAAGTCCTATAGGTTTGGGCTAATCAGTAAAACAGACAACCTGATTTTTATAACGGAATGGGTCCACAGGTGTAAGTGTCAGGACAACCACACATATTATGAGAGAATAAAAATTTATCCTTAGTACACATTAAAATTCTTTTCATATACTAACACACTCGGTCCCAATAATAAGTAATGACAAGGTGTGATGGTTAGGTTAGCTATTAGATATGTGCAAACTCTGATGAACTGTAGTTATTGAGCTTGTCTGAGATCATTCAGCTACACACAATAGAGTCAGAATTTGAACCCTGTAAATCTAATTCTGAATATTGCTTCACACGAACAGGGTTCTATTCAGCAGAGTAAGGGTGGCTACAGGAGTCCTATTCATGCAGCTGCTAAGGGTAAAGCTGCTCCCTGAAAGGTCAGCAGTTGCAATTCACTAGCTGTTCCTTGGGAGAAAGACATTGTCATCTGTTCCCGTAAAGATCCAGCCTAGAAAACCCTGTGGGGCAGTCCTGCTCTATGTTACTCTGAGTCTAAGTTCACCCCCCCACTCACACACCACCTATGGAGTCCCTGACGCTCTGCTTCCAATGGTTACAGTGATGCAAATTTAGTGGAACGCAGCTCTGCTTTCTACACATGAAATCACTATGAGTCACCATCATATTTTACTACAGTTCTGTTTATAACTTTGCTTCTGAGAACTCACATGGAATATTTCTCTCTTTTGATTCAGATATCCTATGGCACTTTTGATCCTTTGTTGAAAAATAAGGACCAGTTTTCCTCTCTCTATCAAATTTCCCTCAATCACAATTGTCTGGCCACAGGCCTGGTCTCCTTATTGATCCATTTTGGATGGACATGGGTTGGTATCTTAGTGCCAGATGACCCAAAAGGTGAACAGTTCATTTGGGACCTTAGAAAAGAGATGACCATCAAAGGTGTCTGTGTGCCACTCATAGAAAAAATTCCTCTGAACAAGAAAATATACAGCCCAAGATATGTAACCTATCTCCCCAGAGTCCTGGACTCATCTGCAAATGCATTAATCATCGATGGTGAGATCAGTATATTACTAACTATGACTTTAATAGATGACTATAATTTAATGACTCACAAGTTATGGATCATTACATCACAGTGGAATTTTTCTTTGTTACCAACTTCATCTTTCTTAGATATTTTCCATGGGTCTCTTTCCTTTTCACACCAGAACGCTGAGATACCTGGTTTCACACACTTTCTCAGGACAGTGAATCCTACCAAGTACCCAGAAGACTTTTTCCTGACCAAATACTGGCTCTACAATTTTAATTGCTCCTTTGCAGGAACTGCCTGTGGGGAAATTTATGAATGCCCACCCAATGCCTCCTTAGAGTCAGTGACTAAGGATAAAATAGACTTGACCACAATGACATCCACCAATGATCTCTATAATGCTGTCCACCTGGTGGCCCATGCCCTCCATGACATGATTTTAATGGGCGAGGAAACTAGGCACCAGATGGAAGCAGAATACCGTGTGCTTCTCCCTTGGCAGGTAAAATGTCCTTTGCAAGTGATTCATCTTAAGGGCTTGTTAGTATCCGAGATTTAACTTGTTGAGTTAAAATTTTATGATTCGAACTTGGTGTCCTAGTGGTTACCATTGTGTTATGAACCACATGGTCAGGAGTTTGAAACCACCAGCAGAATTAAGACTGAGCTTTGTTCTCCTGTAAACCGTACAGTCATTATGATTTAGCTTGACACAATGAAGTTTGATTTTGGTAATTTAATGTAGTCTTCAAGATGAAGGGATGATTAATATTTCCGAATTTCAAATCATGCTAAAGAGGCATGGAAATTAAAGCATGGGTGGTTCAAATCCACCAGTCCTTCCAAAGAAGGAATCAAAAGGTGTATGTTCTTATACAGATTTACAACCTCAGAAACCCTATCTAGCATTGCTAGGGATCTGAACAGGACCCCTGGGGCATAGTGGGTTATATGCTTTTCTGCTAACTACAAGGTCAGCAATAAAAACCACTAGGTTCCCTGATGGAGAAAGATGACCTTTAGACTTCTGTAACCAGTTATAGCTCCAAGAATTCATAGGGGCAGTTCTGTTCTGATCTCTAGGGTCACTATGAGTCAGATTCGACTTGCCAACATTGAATTTTCTGAGAATGCACTTGAATCACTGGCTGGCAGTGAGTTTCTATTCTGGTGGGTGGGAGAAAGGTTCTTAGTACAATAATCCACAGAGAGGTGAATGCGATGGAAGCCAACAAAGATGATAACAGATACATCACCAACTCACTACCATCGAGTCAATGTGACTCTCTGTGGGTTTATAAAACTGTAACTGTTTATGGAAATAGAAAGCCCAGTCTTGCTCCCTCAGAGCTGCTGGTGGTTTTGAACTGCTGGCCATGTGGATAGCAGCCTGATGCTGAACCATCACAGCACCTGGGGACCATAATGGACACATAGACCAATGGACTTAAAACTCCAGAAAGGTATCCATATATCTATAGTTAACTGTTTATGGACAAAGAATCTTTGTCTCTTCCTGCATTTGATGAGTCTCTGCAGGAGCCCTAAGAAATCCAATGATTGGGGTTGATGCTCTTGATTCCTAATAGAGTCACCAGAAGTGAAATTTTCTGGAAAGGTATAGAAACTTCTCCTGAGGCATAAATTATTTTATTTTATTTTCTCTAGACTCCTAGTATAAATATTGGTTATTCCAACTTACTCAGCCTCACAATGGAAAAGGATTAAAAAAAAACCCCAAATTGTCTGGCAAGTATGAACAAGAAAACCAGATATAGTAATTCATTCTCTTAACACAAAGCGTTGTTGTGAGTCATAATTGCTTAATTGTTATGGGTTGAAGTTTTTATTTATCGGGGTAGGGTAGAGTGCTCTTCCTTGAACACGCAGAAGAGTCCGTGATCATCCTGAGATGATACCTGTTCAGAAAGGGACATAGACACACAGATGAGGAAAACCTGTGTCACTGCTTAGCAACTACATGTATCTTTAGTTCACACCTGAGATTTTTGTCTCTAATGCCCATGTTCATTTCCTTTCCTAATGATTTTCTCCTTTAGCTCCATGCATTCATAAAAAATGTTCAGCTGGAAAACAGTGCTGGAGAACATGTCTCCCTGAATGAAAACAGAAACTGTGTGTCACAATATGAGATTCGGAATTTTCTGAATTTTCCTGGTGGTCTTCACCTTCCCATGAAAGTCGGAGAGTTCATCCCCCAGGGTCCAAGTGGGCAAGGTTTGATGATCCAGGAGGAGCTGATAGAATGGGCGTTTAGATTCACAGAGGTTTGGATCA